TCGAAAGCAAAAAAAATAGAAAAGCATTTGAAGGTATATTTTTTGGTGTTTTCAGCTTCAAAACAAAGAAGAATAAGAAAACCTTGCATGTAATAAAAACCGAAAAGAAAGGGTTAGATCTAGTTACCTGATGAGAGTTGAACCGTATGGCCAGTTTATTTTCGCGGTGGCCGGAGTGCGAGGGAACTAAAAGGTCGGGTCTTTTGGGGGTCTTTAGTAGGTTTTTTTAGGTGGTTTTAGCCTCGGATATGCGTTTAGGAGGGTAAATCTGAGTTTTAGGAGGTTTTTGGGTAGGTTTAGGGGTTCTGACCACCGTGTGCGACAGCCGGAATGGTGAACGGACAGTAGCTGAACGGTGTTGGAGGGCGGCTGATGCCGACCGAGGGAAAACGAGAGAGAAAAGGAAGATTTTTTTGGTTTTTTTAGAAATCTGTTAAAAATGAAAAAAAATAAAAAATGCGAATTTTATAGAAAACTTTAGGATCACGCTTAGGTCCCCCTAGTTTAGCCATGTTTTTATAAAGTGGTCACCTGTAGGGGCCGATTTTGCAATTTATCCGTTTCTTATTCATGTTATATATTTTTGCGATAATAACTGTTTAGTCCCCCTAACTTTAGCGTGTTTTTTCATGTTAGTCACATGTAGGAATTGAATATGCTATTTACCCACTTTTGTGCATGTTATATATTTTTAGGGTTATTTTTGTTTTAATCCCTCTATGTTTAGCGTATTTTTACATTTTAGTCATGTAGTGATGATTTATTTTTAAAAAAAATACTTATGGACTGATTTAGTAATTTAGCTATTTTTTAGAAGCATGTTTTAGGCTCGTAAAAAATGAATAATTATGAAATAGTCCATGTAGTTTCTGCATGTTTATATTTCAAACTATAATCTGCTTTTTATTTTATTTAATTTGGCCATGCAATTTTATTTTATTTTATTTTAATTTGGTCCCCATGTTTTATTTATTTTTATTCTTTGTAATTTTAGCACTTAATATTAAAAATAGTCATTTTAGTCATGTTTGCACTTTATTTTGTTTTAATTTTTAACATGATGATGTGATTGTTTATATTTTAGTTCTATTTAAATTTTGTTTTATTTTAATTTTTGCATGTTGTTTGGCTATTATTTCATTATTAATTTTGCATGATACCCTCATAAGCATTCCTTGACTCGAATTAAAATAATTTGACTAAGGGTAATATTCGTTCATTTTAATATTGTCGTAAAGTGATTGTCTTAACGTATAAGAAATTTAATTTCGATAATTTTAAAATGAAAGTCTATCCCATTTAGTGACACGAATTAAATTGAATCTATTTTAAAATTTGGGGATTGGGAAAAAGATCATGTTCTTTTAATTAAATTCACCGAGAAAAGACTGTTGGATCGAATCTAAGGCCTCGTCTTGATGTATTTAAATAATTGAACATCCTTATTCTCATTAAATATTGGTAAAATAAATAATTAATTACACTTGATTGATGTATGCTTTTAATTTTTTTATTCTTGCATGTGTTTTTCAATAGGATTTCAAAATAGTAATACTCGAATCGATATTAAGAATAGTAATATCTTTTCATTTCGGTTGGAGTAATAAATGACTGCTTTAAGTCATGAGAGGTCGTTTATTCTCGATTGGAAATAATTAGATATTACCGTTTTCTCTCTAATTAATATTGATTTTTAAGACGGAATAGTGATATCTCTTCATTTCGATTGGAGTAATAAATGACTGCTTTAAGGCATGAGAGGTCATTTATTCTCAATTGGAAATCATTAGATATTATCGTTTTCACTCGAATCAATATTGAATTTTAAGATGAAATAGTGATATCTCTTCATTTCGGTTGGAGTAAGAATGACTGCTTTAAGGCATGAGAGGTCATTTATTCTCGATCGGAAATAATTAGATATTATCATTTTCTCTTTTAGAATTATTTCGTGTTGTTATTTTGAAATAATAATGAACTTTAGAATGGAATTTTAATATTTCTTTATTTTGATTGGAGTAAGAATCGATTGCTTTAAGGTATGAGAGGTCGATTCTTCTCGATAGGAAATAATTAAATATTATTGTGCTTCGTCCTAAAATTCGAAGAATATTACTTATATGGGATCTTAAATTAAATTAAACTCGAATTCCTAAATTTCATTGCAAAGACAACTAATTAATCGTCTAGGTACCAATTTAGGGCGTTGTGTGGGTGTTAATCCTTCTCCACACGTAACCGACTCCCGAACTCAAATTTTGGTAACGCATACCGCAAATTTGTTTTTTTAATTAAGATTAATATTTTTATTAAAATGTCAAATACTTTTTGGGTGTCCAATCAAACCCTAATCAAAGATTGGTGGCAACTCTTAAAACCATGTTTTATCATTAAAAGGTCATCAGATCATACCAAACGAGACCCCTTTTCCTTAAAAAAAATTGTTTCGACAATATTCTACTATGAGGCTGAGCTCACACGAAAGCTCTTAATAATTTCATATCTCTAATTCAAATTATTTATATCGAGATATATATGACGAAATTATCTACAAAAGTGAGAAGAATATATCATCTTTTATGAAAGACATTGGGTATCTTTGTAATAGACTTATCAAAATCTTAAGATGTTTTGCCTATATATGTTGACTTATCAAAGACTTTAGTGGATAAATAAAGTTAATCTTGCGTTACAAGTTTACCTTTATCTTAAACAATTTCAAGATTCTTTCACTTATTGAAGATAATAATTATTCATTTTTCACTAGTACTTAAGTTTTAATCTTTCTAGTGCTCTTCTCGCGTTTTAATCAAATTGATTCTCATTTTTCAGAAAGAATTTCTTTCACATTACTTGGAGAATGTTGATAATTCTTAAAAAAAAAAAATCAAAGGCATGTAAATCCCACATTATGCAGGAAAAGGCTTCTAGATGTGTTTATAAAAAGTCTTCTCTTACATTCATTGTTGAGTGTCGAGTGGATCATTGCGTCCGCGTGCCGTCATTGTCGTCTGATCAGTCAAATCTCTTTTTAGAAAAAATCTTAAGAATTTTCTAAATCAAAAATTTGTTGTATTTATAGACATGGTATAAATATGAAACAATTTCTTGCTATAAATTTGATTATTATTTTATTGTTAATCCCAATATGATTTTGGTTGATTTTTAATTAGATGTTAAACACAATTTAATTGGTGATTGACTATATAAAACAATTTACAACAATTATCCAGTATGGTACATCAGTTGCTATTTGACCAACATTAATCTGGACTGTTATGACCCTTAATTGCATCAGCTGTTATTACAGTTGTTTTTGCTACTTAATTTCAGCATTTATTCTCATTTTATGCGGCTTCTTGTGCCTATAAATATCAAGATATTTCGATCATGTTAATTTCAAGGACATCGTTTAGTACATCGGTTACATCAATCGAAATAAATTTACTTCTAATATAATGGCTCATCACAATATAATTTTTTTATTGTGATATTTTGTTTTATTTTTTCATGTTAGTACTAACGATTCGTTTTGCAATATTATATCTCTAATAGAAACATGAACTTATTTTCGTACACATAACATATTCTTCTAATTTTTTAAATCAAAAGATATTTAAAAGTAAACATGTTCATATAAATATCTTTTAAATGTTAAAACACCATACTAATTAAATTAAAACTCAATCGATTAAATATATAATTGATGTTATTTATGTTTGAATGTATCTTTTTTTCTTATTATAAGTGTGAATTGAGCTAATAAAATAATTATTATTATTTGACACACCGTCACTAAAAATGTTTCTTTACAATAAAATTAAGAACTAAAAATAAAATTAAAAATGTAAATAAATTAGATATTTATAACTATTTTAATATTTTTTATGAAAAAAAATTCACTCAGTACAATTGATAAATTGATAATCTATAAAAAGTAGTCTTATGTGAGAATTAATTGAACTTCAATTCTTATTTAATAAATAAAACTAATTTATTTAATTTAATCATAAAAATTAATTTTATGTTTAATATTTTAATTTTATGCTGTAAGTGAAGAAAATCATATGTAAAAAAGTTTAAAATCAACACTAATACCAAAAAATCAAACCTACGCTTAAAAGATCTCAAATATCTCAAATTATTGAAAATTATAAATATTTATGCAATAAGATTTAAAATTATTGTTTGATAAATTATCAATGATAAATAATAACTTCAAAAGCAGTGAAGATTATTGTTTGATACATTATTAGTATAAAAAATTAAAAACATTGTTTAGATGATTTCAAATGCCCAATTATTCAATTAAAATTAGTTAAAATTACATTTATCATAATTTTTTATTTTTATTTTTATTTTTAAATTTTAAATTTTAAATATAATTAAAATACATTTATCATAATTTTAACTCATTTCGTACATTTAGTAAAAATCAATTAATAATTGTTTTAAAAAAATATAATTTTTTCCACATTTTCGTAACTAAATAGTTATTCTATTAGATTTTGACTCACCCAATTGACTTCTTCATATATAAGAATTGAACAGTATAGTGGGTATGTATATAAATCAACATGATAGCGCGAACATAATTCGATTAACTCTCACATCGAATATATTTAAGTTTGACTCTGACTAAAATCTTTAACTAGCCGAAACAAATTACTTAACAGCAGACTCAAAATATTCTTGAGCAACTCAAAAATTAATATATTAAAATTTTAGATTTTTAAATTAAAATATTAGTAATGTTATTATATGTCTTTCTTTTTTTAAAAAATACAATACAAAACTTTCATACACTTAAGGTTCAAATTTTTAATTTCAAATTTTTTCGAACTTGAGTCAAACTTTAATTTTTTATTTCAAATTTAAGTCGAACTTGACAACTTTAAGCTCGTGAGTTTCTGGATTGAATCGAGCTCAATTTTACACTTTTCGAGTCAAGTTTAATTTTAAGCTTTTCCAATATAAGTTTGAAATTTAATTAAATTATATACTTTTAAGTTACTTCAACAGTCAATTATCGCTCATACACCAAATTTGACAAGAACTTGCCTGTTCAACACCAAATCCGAAGCAATCGAACATGTCGAAGCAACAAAAGAACCATGCATTGAAATCGAACATGTCATCAAGCTCGATGTCACCTCTCGTGAATTTACGACACCTTAATTGTAATGGCCTGTTCGAATCGCCGCTTATCTGTAGGTGGAATGTTATGGAGGAAGCATAATGTTGGTTTAAAACTAATCTGGCAATGAACAAGCACCAAAACTCACCGGCTTTGCCTGACCTACATATATGGCAGTTCGGTGACAAAAGTTGGGAGATGCTGGTGGTGGCAGTTACTTCAACTGTGGCCATTTGATCGACTCTGTTGATCTCTTTTTCATGTTTGGTGCACCAGAATTCTCGGCAGAATCGTGCCACACCATCTCCATCTGATAAGGATAAAGCAAAACATGCAGTCATTGGATAAACGATTTCGAGATATCTATGTTTTCAGTTTCTCGCAAAGATTAATCTTGATCAACAAAAAGATGGGGATGACCATAGACGGGGAGACTGTTTACGTAGATGATTTACCGCTACAGTTAGGGATGATTAGAAATTGAAACGTGTTCTCAATAATATATATATATATATATCTGAGCAACAAACCTCTCCAACAATCACTGTATCGCCTTCTTTCACTCCAAGCTTCATGAGAGACCTATAAACTCCACAAGCCTCCAGGACATGTTGAAACCTTTTCTCAGAGTCCATGTATCTGTTGAATTGACATGTGATGAGAAAAAGGAATAACAGTAACATATCCTCGTCAATCTGGAACAGTTAATGTAAGCAAAAATCATGCAGTGATATATACAAATAATACTGACCTTGGTTGAGAGCACGCGTTTTAGTTGCTATTTACGACATTTAGAACTAATCTTTACTTATGTTATTGTCAGAGAAAGACATCACCATGTTAGCTAAATTTAAAAAAAAAAATTGCTCGATTCCGTTTCCAACAAAGAAATGCATGTGCTCTATTTACATTTAGAAAACTAGATAGCTTATATAAAGGTTCATAAAGTTATATAATGAAAATGCAGCATTACAAGAAATGTGCATTATTAATCGAGATTACATGAATCACTGAGCAATTGGTGAGGCAAAAGGAAATAAATCAGTGTGTTTTGGACTGGATTTATATAACTCTAGTGCATAAGAAAACTACAGTTTCAATCATTCAAAATTAATTACAGGAAAATGTATGTCATAAAAGTTCTGCATATTGAGTCGAAACATTCAAAATTTATCCTCTGCATTGCACTAAAAGTTATTATCCGGTTTTCCAGAACCCTTTCTTCCTCTAGAAACTTGAAGAAAAGGAATCGGAAAAGAAAGACTAGATGATAGAATATTCATCTTCCAAGTGCTAATTAATGGCAAAACAGAGAACTTAAATCCATGGTATTTCATTCTAGGTATTGTATTTACCATTACAGTCTAAAGTGATGCTTTGGAACCCGAGAGTCTATGCTTAAAATATCATTTCAGACAAATGCCAAACTTCATCATATCCTCCTTTAAAGAAAGGGGAAAAATTTATCCGACTAGTTGCATGATTGACAAGCCAAATACAGTTCTAATGCAGCATGAAACCTATCCAATATCATATATCACACAATTTACAAGCACAAATAAGAATAGGCTCAGCAGTACCACCGAAGTGACACTAACATGATAAACTAGGATAGCATACACACAGGACAAAGACAATGGTGAGAAGTAGAGGGGAGAAAGTGTGAGCAGATCAAGCAATTGATGATGAGAGTTATTAACATACCGCCAGTTTGTCATCTGAACGAAGCGTTGCAACCCGGCTCCAGTTACATACCACGTACTGCAACTACTGTCACGAGTGATCTCAAACTCGCTAATAGAGGAGCTACGCTGCCTCTGTACCATATCGGCTACATAGTTCAAATCTATCCGATCTTGAAAACCTAAAGAACAGCTAGGACTTGTCAACGATGAATGCAATGGATTCACGGGATGGATTAGAATTCATAGAGTACAATAAGAAAATCAAATGAAAATATAAGGATTGAGGATGTTGTCAATAAAAGGAATTTAAAGAATTAACTTCAAATAAAGTTAACCTTCTAATCCCTCGTTGGATTTTTTAGTTTCTTGAAGAAGTTTGTAGGCGGTACTGATAACTTCATGAGTTCCCTCTCTTTTTACTGCACTCATGCAAAAAGTTTTGATTCCACGTCCTTGTAATTTTTCCTTAAATGATGGCCAATTTTCATATGCCTCTGGAAGGTCCATCTTATTATAGGCAACTATAAATGGCTTTTCAGCTATTTCTGGGCTAAACATTTCCAGTTCAAGACGAACTGCATCGAACTCAAGCTCTGGTTGCTGTCCAGAGCCATCAACGACATGTACCTATGGAAAGCAGAGACAGGATTCTGATCAGCCTATAAAACATTTCCTTTACCCTAACATAGCTAGGGAGAACAGTTTTAATAGTTAATGGAGCAAACTGCGAATTTAAACTATCATAACACGTGAGAAGCAATTAATAGTAGTCTTCAAGAACATACTACAATAGATGTAATATTTGAGAAGAAGCCCATACCAGTGCTGAACATCTTTCGGTATGCCGTAGGAACTCATGACCTAAACCGAAACCCCGGTGTGCTCCTTCAAGTAAACCAGGAAGATCAGCAACAACCATGGTAGAATCATAATCAAATGAAACTACACCCAGATTGGGAAGCAAAGTTGTAAAAGGGTAATTTGCTATTTCTGGCTGAGCAGCGCTTATCACGCTTAGTAGAGTGCTTTTTCCGGCATTTGGTGCACCCACTATACCAACATCTGCTACCAATTTCAGCTCCAATTCCAGCCACCTGCTCGAGAATACCATTATTAGCAATGCACATATTAGACCAAAAAACAAGAAAATGCCACTGCAAGCTAGTAATTTAGCTTCCAAAAGTTGAACTGCTAGTTCACAATTTATTCATAAACATGGCTTCCAAAAGCATGTATTGTACTTATTGTTCAGATAACAGCAGCACATCAAAATGACACGTGTCTTAAATTTCACATTTTCTTTTATTCTTGTCAGATCAACTTATTTGGTCCTTCGATTGTTTGAAGGGAAAGGTATGTGAAACAGTAAAAAACACAATCAAAACACAAGCAATGTAACAAAACTAAAATGACAACATGCATTGATCATTCATAAACATGGTAATAGGTAGGGAGTAATCGATAGGCGTCAAGCTCAATCTATAAAAAAATATTGCATTACAAGGGTGTAATTGAGTTTCACTTTTTAAGTTTGAGCTCAAATTGAAATAAAAGATCAAATTGCTTGAGCTAGTTCAATTAAGCTCGTTTATATAGGGGCTGTAATTGAACCTATCCAAGCTCGAATAGTGATATGCTCAAGCTCAAGCTCGATTTGAAACACAAGGCTCAATACTTGGCTTGAGCTCAATCGAATATCATTTTCTAAGCTCGACCAACTTGATTTAGCTTGTTACTTGACTCCCATACTCTAGCTGAAATTAAGTTTTTGCAAATACAATTGTGAATATTAAGATGCTTAAATCTGTCTAGCTTGTTAGCAAAAGTGTCTCTCATTTACACTCTTACCTTTATCTAGTAAAAAGTGTTCAATTCTCATCCTCAACTTCAAGCTCGATTATTTGCACTCAAGTTCAGGTTCAAACAAAGATTTACACTAACTATAAAAAACGGCTTAATTAAGATCGCAAGATCGAATTAAGTACTAGAATATTCAAACTCAGCTCACAGATAGCTCGAGCTCAATCTAGATAATCCGAAGTTTTCAGGTAAAAGGGAACTCACATTTCAGGACCTTCTTCTCCATTCTCAGCAATCTTAGGCACCTTATTGTTCCCGGACTTAAAGGAAGCGTTCCCTCTCCCTCCTCGTCCACCAGGCAACAACAACGCCCGTTGCCCCGGATACAACAACTCCAGTAGCACATCATCGCTCCCGGCCTCTCTAACCACCGTCCCTGGCGCCACTTTCACCACCACATCCTCCCCTTTCCTCCCACACATCATCCTCCCTTGCCCGTGCGCCCCTCTCCCCGCTCTATAATGCATGCAATTCCGAAACGGTAACAGCGAATTCATCGCTCCATTGACTTCCAAATACACATTCCCTCCTCTCCCCCCGTCGCCTCCCGACGGTCCCCCTAATGGCACGTACTTTTCACGCCGAAACGCCACCACCCCGTTCCCTCCATCCCCTGCTTTAACGTAAATTTTGGCTCGGTCAAAGCACCGCATCACGGCCGGTACCCCTTTCTCCTTTACTTCCAATCCCAAATCATCAACCTCGTTTTCTAATAAATTTACAAGCTTGCCATCGGAATCGTAATAATAAACCTCCTCTTCCCCTTCTTCATCAAAATCCAAACTCCCATCACCATTGTAATAACCCAAGATTTCTCCATCGTCGGTTTCGTCTCGGAAACCCATTTCTTCTTCTTCTTCTTCTTCTTCTTCTTCTTCTTCTTCATCATCATCATCATCGGTGTCAAGCATTTCAGCTTCAATCTCAGAGGAATCATTGTCGGAGTCTCGCTTAGCGACATCAGATTCGGAAAGTTTGATTTCATCAGAATCGTTCAAAGAGGGAAAATGGAAATCCTCCTTGGGAGGAAGACGAGTGTAAGTGGTGGCCTGGGTGCCCAAAGAAGAAGCAGAAGAAGGCGAGGGTGAAGATAACGATAGAGATTGGAATTTAGTATTAAGCTTCTTGGGTTTAATTTTGGGGTTTGGGTTTTTTCTAGGAGAGGGTTTTTGAGTTCTGGATCGAGCTTGACTTTGAGGAAGAGATAAACAAGTAGCCGATACGGAGATGGAAGCCATTGTTTCAAAGTAAATGATTTTACGCCATATTTCTGAGGTTTTTAAAAGGGTTTAATACCAAGTGGATAAGGAGATGGATTATGCGCCACGTGTACTTATTATTTTGAGCTTTGTTTCTTGGAGTATAGGGTTAAGGTCCAATTATCAAGTTGAATCATTCATTTTAGGCTTTATTTGTTTATTTTCTTTGGATTTTCAGTTAAGTAAAATTAGGATTAATGTAAAAGTAAGTGTTCAAATTATATTTAAAGTTAATTTGTTGTTTTTAAAAAATTATTCGTTAAAAATATATGTCTAATATTTTCTTTGTTACACTTTCACGTGTCTAATATTTCTAATGTTATATTTTTAGGTGCTTTGACTGTAATTACTATTGCAAATTACAATTATTTGACACGTGTCGAATATTATAAAATTTTAAAAAATTTATTTTAAAATAAAAATATTATAATTTATAATTTATTTATAAAAAAAAGACTCATTTCTATAGAATTGCAAAAAATACTCAAAAGGTCACCGAAAGGTTACCTACCCATCGTCGCTCATTCATTGGCCGATCATTTCTCTTGCCTTTACCCCAAACCCCTAGATCCTTCGCCCTAAATTTAATAGGAAGAGGATTTAGTTAGAATTTAATCTTAATAATCTCAAATATTGGGAGGAAAGGGGATGAGAGGAGGAGGGGAAGGAATTGGGAAGGAGGCTTGGGGAGGAGAATTTTTCTTTAAAAATATATTTTTAATAAAAAATATTATTTTTTATTTTTTAAAGAAATTAAAAAGATATAATAGTGACTCGTGTCACTTACAAATCGAATTTAATAGTATTATAGTCCAGGCACCTAAAAGTGTAAAGTTTGAAACATTAGACACTTGTTTTTAACAAAAAAAAATCTTTAGGCACAAAAAATTAACTTTATGCATACTTTGGACACTTATTTTTGCATTAAGTTATAAAATTATAATACTAAAAAAATAAAATTATTGTTGATTATTTTTTTTATTTTTGAAAAAAAAAATTATCTAGGAGAGGAAAGTAATTTTTTTTAACTCTAATGGCTATTGAAGTCACAACGGGATATGAAAGGTGTCAATTGAGAGGTTATAACCACTACTTGCTCTAGAAATTGTTGACATTGCTGATTATTTTTAAATATATATTATAATTAGCAATGTTAATGATTTTTAGAGCAAGTGGTTAAAAACTCTCATTTATTAGATTGTGAGTTTTCATGAAAAATTCATTTTTACCTTAATTTGTTCTGCTTGAGATATTATCTCGACATGTTAAATTCAAAATTTTATATCAAACTTAGTTAACAATAACTTCATCTCTTTTTTTATTTTTATTTTTGATAGAAAAGCCTTTTTTCTAATTAAAAATAAAAGATATAGCATCATGAAATAAAATTTACCATCGCAATTAAAGTGATACCTAACAAATTGATGATCAATGACTAATGGGATGAGATATTGAATCACTTGAATGGAATCAAAAATTCAGAGAAAGACTCATAACTATCGTCAAGTTAATTTCTCTTAAATATCCTAATAGATAATCTAAGAACTCCCATCATATTTCAAGTCAAACCCAAATAAATCTAGAGAGCATATGAAGTAAAAACTGAATTTCCAATAGCCCTATGTTTCTACTTTTGCCCTTTCTATAATAATTCAGTAATTGTATTTTAATAAAATAATTAGTGTGATATCTATATTTCAAAAATATCTAATATTATATATAACCACTGGCAAAATGTTTGGTATGATACCTATTCTTTGAAAAATATAAAATATGGTACATATACTTTGATAAAGATAATGGTTAAAGTAATAAATGTACTTTTAATACGTCCAATGTGGTCTATACTTTGTCAAAATATTCAATATGGTACCTGGACTATCATTTCTTGCACTGTTGTTATACCTAGGTTGACATCATTGGTAAGTGTCGCACCTAAAATATTATTTGAATAAAGTCTTGCATTGCTTGATTTCGAGAATTTATTTTCATGTGTTTACATTTTAGTCACTTCATAACTTATTACTATATTTTGTTAACGATTGACTTTATTCCTAAAGTTTACAAGTTTTGCATTTTAGTAATCATTTAGCTTGTTGTTAGTTTTTGGTTAAATTTCCTCATATAACTGATAATTTAATTTTTCATATCATTTAGCCTCTTGCCTTATTATATGCCTAAATGAATATATGTTATAGATTCTTAATCCTTGTTATGATAGCATTTTGGTCATCAGTTTAGATCCAGCTCAATTTGTTATAACTTAATCCCCATTTTGAGTTGTATATTTTGGTCCTTACTTTATTCTTTTTTATATTTTAACCTATGTTTTATTGTTACATATTAATTCGGCATATATTTAATGGATTTTAATGGGATTGTGAATACCAATCAGTTTATAATGTAGTCCTTCAATTTGCAAAATACCCAAAGTATTCGATATTAATGATTTATTAAATTTTACTTGAATCCATTTTCGAGGACACTAGTCGTGGAAATGGCGGGTAAAGCACTACTTTATAGAGGTAGTGTGATTTCAAAACTACATTCTAATGAAACGAGAACTTGAAATAAAACGAGTGTTTTTTAAATGATATTTTAATTTGTTTTAAGTATTGACAGTTTATGCTTCCTTTTTAGAAATAAAATATGGGTTATTTCATGTAAGTTCTGATATTAATTCTGATTTAATTTAATGTTTTTTAATAATTCGGGGGGGAGAACATTCTTTTACAATATAAGAAGTAGATGGGATAGCTTTCCTGATGGAGGATTGCGAATCTCGATATTTCTTTTTTAAGTTAAAGAATTTCCCTAATAATTAATTCAAAACAAATTATTTAATGTTCAATAAAAAGATCTTACTTTAAATCTTGATACAAATTCACGATGTCTACCATTTACAACAATGTGTAATCGACTAAGTACTAATTTTGGGCGTTGTGGGGTGTTTATCATTTCCCACGTGTAATCAATTCTTGAATCCTTAAAAATACATTTTTAGTAAACGGAGACCAACTTTTGTCTTTTAAATGATTTTTTCTAAATTGTTTTAGAAGACGTTTTTAGGTATTCGACAGACCTAACTCAAAGGTCGATGGTGACTCCAATTCGTAATAATTAATTCAAAACCCTAATTTTTTCAAATAAAGTCATAATTTTTTTTAAATAAATTTTTTTCAAAAATGGTTATGACAGCTTGGTGGCTCCACAGGACACTTTAGAGAGTCAAGCTGTAAGTCGATTATACATTGTCATAGTGGTGGAAATTATGAGTTTGAGTCTATAGTTACCTTATGATCCTTTTATTGAAATTTTACATTACTATACATTCTTTATGAAAATAGTTGTACTAATATTCAAATTCATGTTTTCAGGTTCACCAAAATTTCTCTCGAAAGTACTCCTTTTATTTTTTTGTTTTATTTGGTTGAAGGTTTGTGTGTTCCTCTTCACACACCTCACATGCATTTGCATGACAAAAGCTTTATACCCGACCTTCGTCCCAAGTAAGTAGGGGTGAATGCTTTGCTATAGTAAGAATTTATTATTCGTATGAGCCTTAGCAAATAACCTCTGGGATACACATGCCTTATACCTTCATAGGGATTTATTCCTCGTATAGGTATAAGGAAGTGAAACCCTTCAAATTGAACTCGATCCACTTAAGCCTATAATGGGTGAGGATTGAGGGCTTGGTAGCCCAAGGGGGCATCTACAACAATGACAATTCAAGTACCTTTCCTTGTTAGAGTATAAACCATACATATAGTGAACCATAGAGTGGTCACCCTAATTAGATCCATACAGAACCTCTGTTCATTAATAGGTACCGAAATAAGTTTACACAAAGGAGGAACGACTCTAAACCTTTATATTTTGCTTTAAATTCATAGAATATATTTCTTTTCGAATAAAAGTTGTGAACTAGATACTGTTGAAAACATTTTGATGTTTCGATATAACAAATGAATTTTAAGATTTTGCAAATGATTTTCTAAGTATATTCGATATAATTATTCGAATATCAAAATATTACTCCAAGTCTTTCAAAGTTCATTTTAATCCTTACTAAAGTGTAAAATTGTGTTTTATACTTAAACTATTTTAAAACAATTTTACAAAGTATTTCGAGCCTTAATCGAGCCAAAAATATTTTCTTTTTAAAGGGTTTCAAGAAAAATCAGATTGTTCAGGGGGTACAGATTCCCTCCCCTAGGGGGTACAGATTCCCCCCAGGGGGTACCGATTCCCCCCCAGGGGGAACAGATTCCCCACCAGGGGGTACCGATTCCCCTTGTTTAACGGTCAAAAATAGATTGCACTTAGGGAACCGATTCCCCATGAGGGGGTACCGATTCCCCCACGCTCCAAGCTATTTAATTAATTGTTTCTCATCCCCAAACGGCTCCAAAACATCCCCAACGACTATATATGACTTCAAACACATTCTAAGCTATAAATATAAGCTAAGGATACTTGAAGAAACAAGAGAACAACTATCCAAGAAATCAAACACAAGAGAAGAGTTTTTCATTCTTAGTTCATCTTTCTCTTGTAAATATTTTGTTCTTGTCAGCTCAATCTTGTAAACACCTACCTTAGAGAGGTTTTCTTGTTTACTTATTTTATCCTTTTGTAAAGGGGAAAGGTTCTAGCTTATCCCGTGTAAAAGCTAGGGAAAGGTTCTAGTTTAGCCCGGAAAAACTAGGGAGTTGTAAGGTTATCTCTTTGTCCTCAAAAGAAAGAACAAATTAGTGAATTTGTTGGAAAATCCTTGGTGAGGAGCTAAGGTAGTGGATGTAAACTTTGGTTGAGAAAGTCGAACCACTCTAAATCGCTGTGCAATTTTCTATCTTTCAATCTCCTTACTCCCTAAACACAAAACCGTTCCGACCACTCTTTACAAACCGTTTCGATTGTCGATTCGAGCTTTCAAAAATCCCAACAATTGGCATCAGAGCCTAACTCGTTAAGAAGGTTTAACC